TTCACCTTCAATCTGGATTCCATTTATAATATCCACAAAGCAGAACTAAAAAGTACTATATTTGTATGTTTTCTGTATATTAATGAATGGAATAAATGTAATCTGAAGTATTATTCAGTTTGTTCATGCCGGCACAGCAATGTAGTGGATGGCATAGTTAGAACTTAAACAGAAAATACTTGTCAGATTAAACATAATCATGCATAATATCAATCAGTGATAAAAATATAATCCAGTTTGTCGAAATACCAAAAAGCTCAAACTCCAAATGAATCACTCATTCTTCTTTTTTAACTGCCTGAGCTTTTTTAAATCACATAAGAAACTCTAACATGACCGTGAGTGACCTCTGGGTGCTGATGTCACTGTTCAGGTCAGTTATTTTATTGCCCCTTATTGGAAACAGACAGACTCTGAAGCAATCATCCACAAAGAACAATATAAAAACAGTAAAACCAACACACAACAACCACAAAAATGTTAAATCACTAATACACCAAGTCATTAGACACAGTAAAGATCGCCGCCTTCAGCAGGAGCAAGCAGAGAGCCTGTTTAGTGTAAACACTGCTGACTTTGTTTTTGCTTTGCACTTTATTTTATTTTATTTTATTTTATTTTTTACGGTCGTCTGCTTTTGATTCACTCTGAAGCGTGTTGTTTCTGCTCCGTGTGTCTTCATGTGCTGGATTAGCAAAGCCAACAGGAAGCCGCCAAAGCAAAGTGTCTGATCACCTTCATCAATGAGAGATTTCATTTTTTGATTTTCCATCAAATCTGCTAGAAACACGCTTTGACTTGCTGATTATTGAATGTAAACTGATGGAAAAAATCTCAGTCTTTCCATGTAAAGTTACATTTAAATAAACACAAAGTTACGAATACTTTAGGGGTCACTGAATGTCACGGAGGCCCCGAAAGTCCCGCAGGTTTAATGGGACTTATCACCCAAACTCCACAGTGAGATGTCAGCAGTGCTAACAGAGGCCTCAGCCTGTCACAGAGCATCATATGCTATTATCAGACAATAATACACCATACTCCCACCCTGGCCCCCACCCACTCAGAGCCTCCTGCTGGCTGCTTGCTGAGGGCCGAAATTGTGCAACGCAGGAGGCTTCTGGTTTTCCGGAGCCAGAAAAAAAGGCTAAGAGAGGAAAAAGGAGATAAAGAGAGGGCGGTTGGTGGTCTGAGGCCGGCCAAAGATGCCTTACCTCCCTCCACCACCTTGAATGTGTGTGTCTGTTTGTGTGTGTATGAGGGGTCCAGGCAATAACAGTACGGATGAACGTCATGAAACATCAGAAACCACAGCAAACCCACACTTTTTTTACAGATGTTCACAGAGGCATCCGTTAGCCGTTAGTGCTGGTTACACACACACACACACACACACCGCCACACACACAGAGTAAACGGCTGGGGAGTGAACAGCTGCAGCAGATGTTGACATCTTGTTCTCTCAGCAGCCAGAAAACACTCAGAGAGTGGACTGCCACACTCAGAGGTCCTCCAGGACATGAAGTCTGAGTTTGTCCTGAAGGTGGCGACAGAGGGAGGGGTCACCAGGTCACCACAGTTGGTAGGTTACACAGGCTGTGCGTATTGTGACGAGATAACAGAAAACTAAATGTAAAAACCAAAGAGTGTGTGTGACACAGGAGTTTGGCATTTGAAGCACATATTTTATTTGAATGAGCTTCTTGGTAATGAAAGGAGCCTCTCAGTCTGGTTCAAGTCTCATTTGGCTTTCAGTGGGGATGCATCGATCAGCTGTGAAGCTCACGTGAGAAAAGCCTTTCTTACATTCATGTTCCACCAGCCAGTAAAAGTTTTCTTGTCTGCATCGTAGCTGCATTTCATTTTCACAACCTACACGGATATTTTTGGCAGTTTCTCATGTTCCACAAACATCTGAGTAGCTTGTGATTTGTAGGTTTCCACTGTGGAGAATTGCTGCGTACATGCAGACATGTTAAACTGCAGGAGGCCCGTGATGATCTTTACTGCTTTCTTCACAGTCATTCAATAAGATCCAAACTTTAGTGACAGGTCTGTCTTGCAGTGATGATCTTTGGAAACTAGAGCGTCTAGAGGGGGATAAAATCGCTGTGCGGTAAATCATAAGGAGGGATACCTGGTCACTCTACCTTGGTCCGAGTTCTCCACTTACTGACTCATCCTCACCCGCAACCCTGAATTGGTTAAGCAAAAGAGGATGGATGCATGGATGGATTCTACTTCAGCAGTTTATTTTTAATGTGTCTTAATTATTTACAGATATTTTCTAACTTATTTATAACTGATCTCTGTCCTCTATAGTGAGGATTTTCTGATTATTCTGCTTTGATATATAAGATGCGAGCACAGGGCAGGACAGGGCCACCTTCATAGACTTTTGACCTGCGCATGATTGTTAATGTCTTGCCAGTGAGTTTTGCAGGATATGAGCAAAGTTTTTCTACTTGCTTGTAAAAAATCACCCTGACTTTGTTTTCTTAGAAGAGATGATGAAACAATAAATAGTTTTAAAGGTTTTTGTGGATATCTTGTTGACTCCATTTACATATAGGGCATTTTCACATACTTCCCTGCAGAGGTATGTGCCACCTGCCTAGACCTCTTGCCCCTCCTTTGACCCCGCCCCCATGTAAAACTTTCTAGATCTGCCACTGAATTTGATTTAAAACAGAAAAGAGCAGGACGCATTGATGCAGTTGAAGTTACAGTGAAGGGCGCCCCCTGGTGACTGCTATGGTCTCTGCACCTTTCCCGTTAGTTTTCTCTTTGAGGTTGTCCTTATTAAATCCACAGGATGTTCTCTGGATGTTTTCAGGTCGAGTGACTGTGAAAGCTCCTGAAGTCACTGAGCCCACCTCAGAATTGACAACAAGACGAAGTCATCCTCTTTTCATCTTCGGCTTCATGATTTTTCTCCTGTAACTTCTTCCCCTTCTAATAGTGAAATGTTCCCGTGGCCCTGGCTGCAGCGCATACTCAGTCAATTGCCTCAGTTCTCGTTCTGTTTGACTTTATCACTAATTGGAAGCGCATCTGTAACCGGAAGGTCGCTGGTTCGATCCCTGGGCTCTCTGTCCTGGTCGTTGTGTCCTTGGGCAAGACACTTTACCCTACCGCCTACTGGTGTTGGCCAGAGGGGCCGATGGCGCAATATGGCAGCCTGGCTTCTGTCAGTCTGCCCCAGGGCAGCTGTGGCTACAACCGTAGCTGCCTCCACCAGTGTGTGAATGTGAGAGTGACTGAATAGTGGCATTGTAAAGCGCTTTGGGTGCCTTGAAAAGCGCTATATCAATCCAATCCATTATTATTATAATTTACTAAATGACTGATTTCTTCCAGGACTGCGCCTGCTTTGTAGCTGTGAAGAGCGCTTTATTGATGATGCCTTCAATGTACAGTGGGGCAAAAAAGTATTTAGTCAGCCACCGATTGTGCAAGTTCCCCCACCTAAAATGATGACAGAGGTCAGTAATTTGCACCAGAGGTACACTTCAACTGTGAGAGACAGAATGTGAAAAAAAAATCCATGAATCCACATGGTAGGATTTGTAAAGAATTTATTGCGTAAATCAGGGTGGAAAATAAGTATTTGGTCAATAACAAAAATACAACTCAATACTTTGTAACATAACCTTTGTTGGCAATAACAGAGGTCAAACGTTTACTATAGGTCTTTACCAGGTTTGCACACACAGTAGCTGGTATTTTGGCCCATTCCTCCATGCAGATCTTCTCGAGAGCAGTGATGTTTTGGGGCTGTCGCCGAGCAACACGGACTTTCAACTCCCGCCACAGATTTTCTATGGGGTTGAGGTCTGGAGACTGGCTAGGCCACTCCAGGACTTTCAAATGCTTCTTACGGAGCCACTCCTTTGTTGCCCGGGCGGTGTGTTTTGGATCATTGTCATGTTGGAAGACCCAGCCTCGTTTCATCTTCAAAGTTCTCACTGATGGAAGGAGGTTTTGGCTCAAAATCTCACGATACATGGCCCCATTCATTCTGTCCTTAACACGGATCAGTCGTCCTGTCCCCTTGGCAGAAAAACAGCCCCATAGCATGATGTTTCCACCCCCATGCTTCACAGTAGGTATGGTGTTCTTGGGATGCAACTCAGTATTCTTCTTCCTCCAAACACGACGAGTTGAGTTTATACCAAAAAGTTCTACTTTGGTTTCATCTGACCACATGACATTCTCCCAATCCTCTGCTGTATCATCCATGTGCTCTCTGGCAAACTTCAGACGGGCCTGGACATGCACTGGCTTCAGCAGCGGAACACGTCTGGCACTGCGGGATTTGATTCCCTGCCGTTGTAGTGTGTTACTGATGGTGACCTTTGTTACTTTGGTCCCAGCTCTCTGCAGGTCATTCACCAGGTCCCCCCGTGTGGTTCTGGGATCTTTGCTCACCGTTCTCATGATCATTTTGACCCCACGGGATGAGATCTTGCGTGGAGCCCCAGATCGAGGGAGATTATCAGTGGTCTTGTATGTCTTCCATTTTCTGATGATTGCTCCCACAGTTGATTTTTTCACACCAAGCTGCTTGCCTATTGTAGATTCACTCTTCCCAGTCTGGTGCAGGTCTACAATACTTTTCCTGGTGTCCTTCGAAAGCTCTTTGGTCTTGGCCATGGCGGAGTTTGGAGTCTGACTGTTTGAGGCTGTGGACAGGTGTCTTTTATACAGATGATGAGTTCAAACAGGTGCCATTCATACAGGTAACGAGTGGGGGACAGAAAAGCTTCTTACAGAAGACGTTACAGGTCTGTGAGAGCCAGAGATTTTCCTATGTTTGAGGTGACCAAATACTTATTTTCCACCCTGATTTACGAATAAATTCTTTACAAATCCTACCATGTGAATTCATGGATTTTTTTTTCACATTCTGTCTCTCACAGTTGAAGTGTACCTCTGGTGCAAATTACTGACCTCTGTCATCATTTTAAGTGGGGGAACTTGCACAATCGGTGGCTGACTAAATACTTTTTTGCCCCACTGTATGTAACAGACTGCTCTTAATGGGGGGGGAAATTGTTTGGAAGCATCTACCAGTGAAATTTTAGCCAAAGCTTAGTAATCATACCTGCTAGGGTTAACCGATCCTACATAGATAGGAGGAATTAAAAAATCAAAGTAATCCAATCTAATCATCACTGAATGCCTGCAAGATACAAAACCATCATTAGAGAAATGCTAAGTCGTTATTTCAGTTAGTGATTTTTTTTTTATGATACCTTTTCCCTGAATGAGTTTTATATCTGTGCATTACATACTATAAAGTGATGTGGCACTACGTTTAAAACCTGAGCATGTCATTAGGTCAGAAATAATTGTATGTGTCTTTTTCTTTCTTCTTTTGTTATTCAGACTGTGGCACTGTGGATTGTCAGAGATTAGCTGTGCTACTCTGAGCTCAGCTCTGAAGTCCAACCCCTCCCGCTTGAGACATCTGGATCTGAGTTACAACAAGCTGCAGGATTCTGGAGTAAAGCAGTTGTGTGGTTTTCTGGAGTGTCGACCCTGTCAACTGGAAATTCTGAGGTCAGCTGTGTTTTCATATTAAACTGTGTTTTCAGAATGTAATGATGATCTTACAGGTTCAATTCACAAAAAGTCATGTTCAATCTGTCCCTAATACAAGACACAACGGATCTGCAGTTTGTTTATGCCAAATTCTGACTGCCTTTAGAATGTTGCAGCAGAAATCGAGACACATCAGACAAGGTAATTGTTTTTCAGCTCTTCTATTGTCCACTTTTGGTGGTCCCCAACCCTTTCATGTTGTTAGCGGCTACATGTGGCACCCACTGTGTTCTTCTGCTTTAAGGTTCAACATGTTGTGCATTTAGAGGCCCAAAACAGTTCGGCCATTTCCCCTCTTGCATCAATAAGAGATTTTCACTCAGAGAACTTGTTGCTATGCACACGGGTGTTCACTGCTCATGGACTTAAATTACACCTTTCTTGGCTGCTACTTCAAAGCACATTGTGCGCTGTCTGTCCTGCGTGCTGCACAACAACATTGAATATTTAGTATTTACTGCTGTTTACACTTAGCTAGATTAATGCGATGGTGTTGTGTTTAGTATGTTGCTTTGGGTTTTTTTTTGCTTGTTTTCTATTCTTCTCTCAACAGGTGATCCAGGAGATTTTTTTTCTCCCCCCCTTTCTCACTGTCCCTCTCCCCTTCTGTTTTTCTTTTCCTTCCTCTTTCTTTCTCCCTTTCCTATCCCTCACTCATGTCTGTCCCGTCTGTAACATCTGAAAATAAAATATAATAAATAATAAAAACAAAGGTCGATCAAATGGACCAATACGGCAATGCCACGATGATCCATTTGGCAAAGTAAATCCATTGGGTATCCTTGTTGGTCTTCAGACAACAATTCTGATGGCTAAAGAACCAAATGGGACAGGCAAAAAAAAAAAAGAAAAAAAAGAAAAAGAGAACTTGTTGCTTTTGTGTCTATTCTCTGTAAACCCTAAAGATGGTTTTGTGGGAAAATCAGATCAGTAGTTTCTAAAACACTCAGAACCACCTGTGTGGTTCAAATAATCCTGATATGCTCAAAATCACTTGTTGCTTGATTTGAACTTAAGTAGGTAGGTTGTCTTAACCATGCCCACATGCCTAAATGCATTAAGTAACTGCCATTAGGCATTACGCAAATCAGCGTTAACAGGCAGTTAAATGGGTGTGCATATGTTTTTTGCTGAGCACAACTGCATGTAAATGAAGTCACTGCTTGAGCTGGCAGTGTATGAGAGCTGATTTTATTATGTCTTTGTTGTGCAGCAGAAATAGCAAGATTTGATTAGTAATAATGACAGCTCTTTTTTTACTTATTATGTTTGATTATTTATATGAAATATTTAAAACAGAAACATTGTCTTTTTATTTTATTCTTTATTCAGACTAAGGGAGTGCTCTTTGTCAAAGGCCAGTTGTACTTTTCTGTGCTCAGCGCTGAAGTTAAACCCCTACCACCTGAGAGAGCTGGACTTGAGTAGAAACGGCCTGCAGGATTCAGATATGATTCAGCTGGTGAATCTTGTGAATAATTCAAATTACAGACTGGAGAATCTGTGGTAAGTAGGAAGTGGCATTGAGTCAATGCTGCTTTTAGCACTACTGTATAAAACACAGTTGGTATCGGAGCAAAGATCGAGTGTTTCCTATAAACCCTCACTGGCTGCTTTTCGCAGTAAAGCGGCAGCTGTTAACAGTCATCATTTTTTGAGAGGACGAGATTAGACTGAGGCTTGCGAGGGCTGCACTGTGTTAACGCGTTAGCGCCGTGCAACCCTGGCATGGGCCGAACGGGAATTTGCTGTGTTAAGGCGTTAATGTCGTATTAACAAGAATAACGCTGACAGCACTAGTAAAGACCCTAGAAAGCCCCAAAAATCATATGACCCCCTATGAGCAAACACTTCAGTGACAGTGGGAATAAAAAAAACTCCCCTTTAAAAGGAAGAAATCTCTGGCAGAACCAAGTTCAAGAAGGGTAGGCCTTCTGCTGCGACCGGTTGAGAGTTAGTGGAGGAAGACAGGACAAAAACACACCGTGGAAAGGAGCCATAGAGCATAACTGATGATTAAATGCAGATTGGTGCATACGCACATAGTGAGTGAAGGTGAAACACTGGACCTATTGCAGAATAACTAACAGAGGATTCAGGGTCACCTGATCCAGCCCTAACTATATGCTTTTATCAAAAAGAAATGTTTTAAGCCTAATCTTAAAAGTAGAGATAGTGTCTGTCTCCCGAATCCAAACTGGGAGCTGGTTCCACAGAAGAGGGGCCTGAAAGCTGAAGGCTCTGGCTCCGATTTTATTTTTAAATGTGTTAGCAAGCACAAGTAAACCAGCAGATCGAGAGCAAAGCTCTATTGGGAAGATACGGTACAATGAGGTCTTTAAGATAAGGTGGGGTCTGATTATTCAAGATCAGTTTTTAAGGAGAAATATGGTCTGTCTTTCTTCTGCTGATCAGCACTCTTGCTGAAGTATTTTGGATTAACTGAAGGCTTTTCGGAATTTTCAGCATCACTCTGAGACAGGATATTTATATTTTGAGAGATGTTGTGCAATTGAAAGAAAGTAATCCTACAAATTTGTTTATGTGCATTGAAGGATATAAAGTCGATTCCTCACAGTGTTGCTGGAGGCCGAGGTAATGCCATCCAGAGTAAGAGTCCAGTTAGATACCGTATTTCTAAGATTTTCAGGGCCGAATTCAATAACCTCAGTTTTATCTGAATCTAAATTTAGAAGCAGGAAATTAAACTTCATCCAGGTCTTTATGTCTTTAAGACATTCCTGCAGTTTAACTAATTGGTTTGTGTTATCTGGCTTCATGGACAGATCGAGTTGGCTGTCATCTACATAGCTGTGAAATTGTATGCTATGTCTTCTAATAATACTGCTTAACCCAGGGGTCGGCAACCTGCGGCTCCGGTCCCGCATGCGGCTCCGTGTGGTTTGGGAAAATAAATTAGAAGTATTTAACTGAAGTGTATTTTATTTATATTAGTTCTTTTTTAACTTGTAGTTCTAAATTGGAAGATTATTGTGATATTGAAATATAAAAATATAATTATATTCTATTATTTTTTCATCGCTCAAAATAAGCGTCACACTGGTGGAAGCCGGTGTACCCGCCGAAACGCCGTGCATTTATCGAGACTTTCAACCCCAGGTAGCCCAATTATGGATCTTCGTATCCACATTATGTCAGCAGCTCCACTGTGAACACCGCTCACGCCTCACAGACGACAGCTTACAGTCCTGTAAAGATGAAAGTACAGCCCCGATTTGCAGACGCTGTGCGCAGAGGTTCAGGAGCAGAAGTCCCATTGTAAACATACCACGGCAGACCCGACGATGTTTCCATGAACATGCTTTTCAGCATCTCTCTATTGACCACTTTTCACACACGGTTGCTGTACGCATACTGCAGACCACGCCCCGCCACACACATTAACCAGGTAAAATACATATTTAGGCAGAATTTTGCAAATATCTATTTTTATTTTTATTTTTTCAGCAGCATAAGTGCTTTTTCCCCAGTTATTTTTTAAAAGTCAGGTCAAGGCTCCAAAAGCCCAATGGTGATATAAGGGTGGCGGCTCACAACAGTTTTTGTTTGCTACATGGATAATTTTAATTCAGCTGGGTGTCTTTCCTTTTGTTATATTTCTTTAAGAGTTCAAAATGTGTTAGTTACATAAATAAAATGTAATTTTCTCTGTAGCACTTCATGGATTTCATAAACAACACACCTTAGTTGTTCACACAAAGCATAAGGGTAAAAAACAATATATACAGAGTTATCTTCATTTTAGATGTCAAAAAGTATTTGAGGCTCCCAGTGTTTTCTTTTGCGTGGAAACCAGGTCCAAATGGCTCTTTGGGTGTTAAAGGTTGCAGACCCCTGGCTTAAGGGAAGCATGTATAATGCAATGTATAACAGACTCCATTTACATGAACAAATTGGAGTCTGTTAGATAGATATGATTCAAACCACTGCAGCGCAGTACCTGTAATACCTACATCGTGCTCTAATCATGGTAATAAATCATGGTCAACAGTATCGAACACTTCACTGACAAGCACAGAGATGAGTCCACTGTCAGAGGCCATGAGAAGATCATTTGTAACCTTCACTAAAGCTGTTTCTGTGCTGTGATGAGCTCTGAAACCTGACTGAAACTCTTCAAATAAACCTCTGCAGATGATCTGTTAGCTGTTTGACAACTACTCTTTGAAGCTCCTGGCCTCCAGAGCTGTAACCATATTTGTTACAAGTATCATCATTACTAAAGGAGGCTGAGAAGTAGCTAAAACTCTGACACAGTGAGCAAGAGTTCAGGAGGAAGAGGTGAAGAGGCCCTCTGTTCATTTCTAAAGCAAGTAAAGAAGTGTTGGAGCCAAGACATTTGAAGAGATATAGATATGGATATAGATACATGGATCTTTTTGACCAGATAGTTGTACAATCAAATTAGATTTTTTCTCTCTTTTCTTTAAAGTCAGTCAGACAGAAGCCTGCAAACTCCTTTCCCTTATTTCAGAGAATCATCCTTACACTTAGTCACTGTTCGTTTTTACACGCAGAGCCTGATATGCAGTAATCATATTTTTTTTTTGACTCTTGTAAACTCTAATTCATGACCTCTGTTATTTCTTCTCTCTACAGCCCCCATGAATTGTCGGTAACAGTTGTCTGCTGAGCTATGACGAGCTCTGCCCTGATGATCTGGAGAGTTTTAAACAGCAGCAGGAATTTGTGCATTAGCATGCCCTGACTCGGCCATGAAGTTAGAAGAAAAACTTCAACCAGCAGTGACTTCTAGAGGAATCAAAAGAAGTACAAATGACTGTTTCAGTGTGAACTGCCCTTAGAAGTGCAGACTCAATAAGAATTATTCACAGACATTATGCAAACACATATATGTGCTTAAACTGTGCATATGAGTGTTTCTCCTGCTAATCTGGGATTCTGTTCTCTTTTCCTGAGCTTGCTTGTAATGAGCAGGCATATTTAGAACTACGACAGACTATGTGTCTATACAAAAGATGAACTGTCTTAGAAAATATACTTAATATTTATCTGTTCAAAATGTATTTAAATTAGAGTCCACCCTTACAGGAAGTTAGTTACACTCATTTCTCGGTGATGTCCTGGTTATAGATGATGGACTGGTGGGTCCTTGTTTGGACCTGCTTACTTCTTTTCTTCTGGTTTGCTATGCTTTAACACTTTTAAATGTCAAACTTTTCTTTTAAACTTGAGCCGCAGCCTTTGTCTTAGAGAATAAAACATTCATCTGTGTAAGCAATATAATATATATACTGTAAGTCAGTGAATCCTGATGAATATACCATCATCCCTGTGTTTTATAACCCTGATAGAGTATAAAAAATCATACCAGCACTGCTCCTCTGATTACTTCTTATGGTGACACAAGGTTTATAGTCATTTAGACGGCACTCAAATCAGTGTAAACTAGAGTAGGCTTTGATTTTCTGTAATTGTTCTGTGTTAGAGCGCCACACTGTGGCATAATTGAGAACTGCAGTTAATGTTTACACAGTAACTTGCTTGATTGTTAAAGACTGCTTGCATGCACAGTTTCATTACTGTCAGTGGATTAGGTTCCTGTTTAGTCTTTCAGTAATTAATATTTCTGAATGCAAAGTATTTGTTGAATGCATAAAAATGTGAAGGAACGATGTGAAAGTTTAATAAACCTCTATGAGCTCACTGAACCCTTTAGAACTCACCACAGTACTGAGACTGCTCTTATTAAAATAGCTAAAGACTAAAAAAAATAATCCTGTCCTGTTTGGCAGCGTTTGCAATCAGAATTACGACCTGAATGCAAACATATTTTTCCAAGATCAGCTCTATAAAATCTCTATAGGCTCCTCTTGTTCAGGTGTTTCTTTTATGTGTTTATTTATTCATTTCTATTCATCTTATTTCAGTTATTACATTATATATGGTATAGCAGGACAATGTCTTAAGGCAGCCCCCAAGAGTACCGAAGCCCCAAGGCCACACATCTCAGCAACATCTGCGCGCCCAACCCAAGAGGAGAAGGAAGGAGGCCCTAGATGGGGCGCCCATGGCCACAGGGCGAGAGTCCCAGAGGTGAGGGGCGGCTGACCTCCCTGGTGCAAGCCCAGTACAGGGTCCCAGGGCTCCAGGCCCACAAGTACCGCCCAGTACCCGGCAGAGCCCTCCCACCCCTGGCGACAAAGATGAGCTACATGCCTGCGCCAGAACATCCAGCCACAAGCCCCGTAACCAGCAAGTACCCACATCCCAGGGAAGGGCAGCTGTGAGAACATATCATCTCCACCCTCATAAATGTCCTCTTGTCAAGTCATACATTACTTACAAGATCCTCTTACAAACCCCTCAATACCCTGATCCCTCAGTATCTCTCTGATCTGCTGCAACCATACACACAGTCTTGGATGCTACGGTCCTCAGCCACGGGCCTGCTTTCTGTCCCGCGCACCAGCCTCCATACCTTTGGGAACAGAGTCGTCAGGCTGGAGGCCACCACCCTCTGCAACTCTTCCATATCAGCTTCACAACGCTCCGTCACTGGAATCCTTCAAAAAACTTCTCAAACTCACATCTTCACCAAAACCTTCTGCTCCTCTGTAAAGCATTCTTGGGTCTTTTAAAAGGTGCTAAACTAAGTTATTACTATTATTACTATTATAAAGCACATCTGAGTGATTTTTGAATCCATGTTGAATTTACTAAAAGCATTGAACCTAAACAAAAAAATATGTCATGTGCAAGAGCTAGACTTTTATAAATCCTTTTTAATCAGGTTTCCCAAAACCTTCTAAAAAATGTGACATAGTGGTATCATATTTCTTCCATGCTAGCTTCTTTTCATAAAATTTACAACCAACCCAAAGTGTAAAGACTTTTAAGGGTTAACCCAGTTTAGATTACTCTGATAGCAATGTTTAAGTGGCTGTTAAATTTAGGCCTGTTGTCTTTGATAGTAAGAAACGAGACGTACAACCAAGCTGGACCAAAGGTCTCCCTGACACACACTGATGGAGCTACATTAATGTTTAACTATTGACTTCTACATGATTAGAATCAAGTTGCTACCTGCTCGCTTACTCACTATGCCACTCGACTTACCAGTTAGAAATGAAAGTATTCATTTTGGTGGTAAAACCAGAAGTCTACCATTAGGGGGCCTCAGATTATATATAAACCTTCATTGTCCATGTATGTGTGTGTTTTGAGAATGTGATCGATGTGATTTAATGCTCTGAAAGTTCTTGAATCATAAATCTAGAAGCCTAATTATATGATATATTTATGTATTCTTGTATGTCTCTCTCTCTCTCTCTCTCTCTCTCTCTCTCTCTCTCTCACACACACACACACCCAGGATGACGTCATGTGATTTCCTGTAACTGGAGAAGGGAGGAGCATCTCTTCTCCATTGATCTAGGTCACTGCAAACTACGGAGCAGGAGGAAGAAATGAATGTGAGCTTTAAGCCCGACATTATGTTTCGTCTGCTTTCAGTCAGCTGTCTCTGTGGACTAGAAGAAAAAACAATGATGTGCTAATTCAGGAAGTGGACTGACAACTCAGTTCACTGCTGGAGTCTCTCTGTGTGTGTTGTACTTCCTGTTTTGTCAGTCATGAGAGTGGTTTGTATTCTGTGCTAATGCTCAGCATTTCTGAGTTACCGGTGAGCCTGGCTGAAAATGAATGTTTTGGAGGAAGAGGAGGACAGTGTACAATCTCTCTGTTTTCCTATGAAGAGAGACCTTTCCATAAATGACAGTGAACCTGGACCTGCAGACACAAAGTAAGAGACCGTTTCTATTGTAAAGTGAAGTGAAGATGATTTATTTGTTATGAAGAAATAATGTGTGCGATCTATTTTAATGAAGTGTTCCCTCTAAACCTTTGATGTGGAACATCTGGAGCAAAATTTCACTGCGGATGTTTAAGATTAAAAACCTGTTTGCACAGAAATAATGCAAAATGAAACTCATGAAGGAGTTCTTACATTTTTATGCATGCAGTACTCATAGAGATAAATATGTGTAGGGAAGACTGCCTGAGTAATAGATGGACAATATAAACTGTTCACCAAGCTTGTGGGCCACAGACAAACTGACTCTTGTTGGAAAAACGCATATTTTATAATACACTTTTTAAAACTTCCATCCTTATCATCAAGTAAAAAACTACAAAAAGACATTGGAAAAAGGAAACAAGAAGAGTTCAGTGCAAACTAGCAACTGCACTAATTAGTTCTTTTATTAGCTGCTTATACAGCTACATTTGCTTACATTCTCACCAGTTTAGAACTACCATTTAGGATGTGGATCTTTGGAAAGGGACACAGCTGGTGAGACGGAGAGGTAAATAAACATGGAGACTGACTTCCACAGGAGATGCCGAAGACAAGAAACATCCCCAAAACCCCAAACCCTGGGTCAGTGACCCTGGGACCAAGACAGATCCCGTCAACATGAACGATGTGTTACATATTATATGTTTGTGTTCCCAGAGGTCAGCAGCCCAGGCGCAGAACAGCGTCTGTAGGATCAGAGTGTCTGTCAGTGAACAGTAACATCTCCAAAGATGATCCTCCATTCTTCAGTAATGAACCTGGACCTTCAAACACAAAGTAAGAAAATGTTTCTGCTGTAAAATGAGCTGAAGAAAATTCCCTTAGCAGGCAGAACAAACATGCTTCCATATCTGTAAGATCAGCTTATTGTGGTAGTGATATAAATAAAATCCAAACTGAGACCCTGTGACAGTGAATGTTTCTGCTTTTACTGAAAACCTCCAGAACCTGAGTCCTGTACTCATAATAAGTGACTTATTTCTAACAACATGAAGATACAAATTAACAATGTGCTAAATATTATATGTCTGTGTTTCAGAAAAGGAACAGAGACTTCAGGATTCGACTCTCTGTCTAACGTTTCCAAAGACGAGCCTATGCACTTCAGTAATGAACCTGAAATCTCAAACACAAAGTAAGAGACTATTTCTCCTCTAGAATGACACGAAGATGGTTTGTTAGGATGACACTAACACAGAAAAGCTTCAGTGATTTTCAAAATCAGAAACCTATTTGAACAGAAAAGCTGTAACATGAAAACATGAAGGACTTCTTGTGTTTGTAAGTGTCAGATATTTTAAAAACACATTATGAAATAGGCCACACTCATGATGGAGAACACAACAAAATATGAGGGGATACAGAGACACGCAGGATGATGAAGGAAAAGGCAACAGGTGGGAACGCAGCAGCAGTAAACTATCATAATTACCTGGAAGGAAATTAGACACAGGATACAGAGAAGAACAGTCACCAAAATAAAACAGGAAGAGAGCCACAACTGAACAGCGAGACAAGATTAACCTGATGCCAAGCACAAAAGAAGACCAAGTAAAGCACAGAAAGACGAAGGAGGCAGGAATAAACAGAGAAGCAAGGAATAAAGCACAAACTAAATCTGACATCATAACCTAAACATAACCAAAGCTACAGAACTATAAAACCCCCAACATCACAAAATTCAAACCTGTGTCCAAGATCCAGCGACCATGACAGTATGTACCTATAGAAGGTAGAATATGTTCCTGAGTAATAAAATCCAAACTGAGACCCTGGGACAGTGAATGTTTCTGCTTTTACCGAAAACCTCCAGAACCTGAGTCCTGTACTCATAATAAGTGACTTATTTCCAACAACATTAAGATGCAGATGAACAATGTGCTAAATATTATATGTTTGTGTTCCCAGGGGTCAGCAGCCCAGATGCAGCCCAGCGTCTCCAGGATCAGAGTGTCTGTCTATGAGGAGTGACTCTTCCAAAATTGACCCTATATCGTTTAATAATGAACCTGGACCCTTGGACACAAAGTAAGAAAGTATTCTGAACTGGCCGGTCTCCAGAGTGAGGCGGTTTTTCTTTTTTCTTTCTTTCTTTTTTTTAATTTAATATCTTCTTCCATGGTAAAGTAATTTGTAGTTTTCCAAATATGTGTTGTAAACTTGCAAATTAGTCCGTGCATGATTGCCCCACTGATCATAAAGTCTGTGCATGTGCGCCTATATCGCCCATCAGGGATTGTTGGACTGACGATTGCCGGTTGGAAACTTTTTACATATTTTTTCACATATCGCCCAACCCTAGCGTTTACACACCAAAGAATATATATTTTTCTATAATTATTTGTTTGCATTAGACTATTATTTTAATGTATGTAACGTACCTGTTTGACTGAGCGTTTTCAGTTAGTTAGTGCACTTCCCCCTATATTTTACCCTTGTGTTACTTAACTTCCTACTAATCTCCCACTGAATAAATACCCCCACCTTATATTAATGAATACCCTGTAATTTTATCTTCTAAACCATGCTATAATGTTTTACTTCTTATTCTGTCTGCACCTTTGTTCTCTTTTATAGTCTTTTATCTTATGTTTTAACCTTGTTGTGAAGCACTTTTGTGTACCTTTGGTTTTAAATGTGCTATATAAATAAAGTTGTATTGTATTGTATGTGTACTGGTCAATATACATTTTCTTTTGTATGCACAGAGAGAAGACAAAGGATCCTGTTTCCCACTGTGGAGAAACAGCCAAGTTTGGACAACATATAGGTGGTCAGAGCAACACTGTGCAAAGTAAGATTATGCTTTATAAGATATAGGGGAAGATTCCAGATGATGATATGCTATACCAATATTAAAGTTTCATTAATTTTATTTCTGTCTTTCTTTTTTGTCTTCTAGCAGTTGCTGGTCTGCAGGAGCTTTTAGATGAACATAAGTTCAGTCTAAGGAAGAGATGTGAAACTGTAACTGAAGGATCTGAAGAAACAGGAAGAAGAACTCCCCTGAACAGAATCTACATAAACCTTTACATCACAGAGGGACAGAGTGAAGACGTTAATACTCAACATGAAGTGAGGCAGCTGGAGACAGGTTCCAAGATGAAGACCCTCCATGAAATTCCAATTAAGTGTCATGACATATTTA